AGCATGCGGTCTACACAGATACTATCATCATCACCATTTTAATGATTCATTAAAACATAATTTCTTGCTAAATAACTTATATCTATCTATCCACATTTTTCTAAAGCAAATAATAATAATTTAATAAGTTGTGTGTTCCAAAAATAGTACCATAAAATTAAGTTATAATGCTAGTTTTGATTGTTGGAATATATTTCATTCTGATTATATTTGCTCCAAAATCGTTATATGAGGTATCTTGTACTTTATTAATTTAAAACTGTTATTTATAATAACTGGAGCCAATTGCAATTAAACAAAAGTTAAAACAGTGATAATGGTAGTATCTGTGTAGACCACAAACTATAGTGTAAATATTTTTGTAGACAGCATGCTATAGTACAAGTAGCCCCTTTTTGTCTTTACATCATTATTCACATGAAAGATTTAATCAATACATAATAATTACAATTCATTTGCTTAATGGTTCACACCATAACAGTTGTTCATGAAAAACTGAATATATATATATTAGAAACATAGATAAAACAATTATGTTTAAAATAAAAAAAATATTTTTCTTGCAATTCTAAGAACTGTATCTATAAGTTACAATTTACATTATGTTGTGAATGTTAAGTTGGCTAAACTGAAAATTTAAGATACAGAATGAATCAACATATGTTTCATGTTAAAAACCCACGTGAGAGTCCATTAAGATTCTCTAAACATTTTTACAATTGTATCTTAAGACTTAAAGTTAAGTACCCATGGTATATTACAAGAACCCTTCTTTTTTAGGTTTCCATTTTGGTTTTGTGATAATCAATAAAAAAAGAAAAAAGATTATTTCATAAAACATTTGGAAGTAATTTGAATTTTAGGTAAATAACTTGTGAATTTTATAAGTATATAGTCATATGGTAATTAATTTACAAGTTATTTTTATAGATATTAAATAATATATATATATATATTCATATTTAGTTTATTTATAAGCTTACGCTGTCTATGGATTTGAAAATTAATTTATATTTTTTGTTAAAATAGTTTTACTGGGATGTATTTATTGTGTAAGGATTTTGATTTTGTTAAAAGTATATGTATTGTATTTAATTAGGTTGGCTGAAAAACAATGTAAGTTGCAAAAGCATTTCCAGCCAACAAAGCTATTAAAAAATACAATATTTCGAAACTAGTGGTCTTTTTAATATTTTTTAAAATTATTATTACGCTCGAGAAGATCACTCCTCTGATACATATGATATAAATTTACATATACATATATTTCATATTTTGGATATAATAAAACGTATTTTCATTTCTTTTAACTCAGAGGTTCTTGGAATTACATTCATTGTAACTACCTCCTATGGTACAAAAAAGTTGCCATAAATAAGTAGAAGCAAACAAATAAACCATACCTGCATTTTTTTAGTTGGAGTTTTCAACTAATTCAAATACAAGAAAATTTATGACTACATGACATAGTATTATCTCCACACCATAATGTGAAAATGACAGAAGCGCCATCTTTTCTGCAAAATATATACTAATTGAAATTTGCTGTTGCAGAATTTGTATATTAATTTGTAATCCTATAATGATTGTATCAATCCATAGAACAGTGATACAACAACAGCAACTTAAATAAATATTATTTTCTGAAATTAAAAAATCAAATACCTCTTGATGATTCTTACAACAAGAACAAAAAAT